AGTCGTGCTCGTAGTAGTAGTAGTAGTAGTAGTAGTAGTAGTAGTAGTAGTAGTAGTCGTAGTAGTAGTAGTAGTAGTAGTAGTAGTGGTAGTAGTAGTAGTAGTAGAAGTAGTAGTAGTAGTCGCAGTGGTCGTAGTAGTAGTAGTAGTAGTAGTAGTAGTAGTAGTAGAAGTAGTAGTAGTAGTAGTAGTAGTAGTAGTAGTAGTAGTAGTAGGTAGTTTCAGAAGTCGTAGCAGTATTTCGTCATTTTACAGAATTGTACTTTGATTTTGTCTGTCTTGCTTTGATTTGCGTTGCTTTTCTTTCTTGTACCTTTTCTCACAACCGTTCGTGTTACATAGCTCGGCATGGCTTTCAGTTACTTTCGTTTGCTTTGATGTGCTTTGCTATGCTTTGCTTCGCTTTACTTTTTCATTCCCTTTATTTCATTTTACTTTGTTCCATTCTGCCCTACTCTTTTTTTGCTGTACGTTTATATTGCTTCACTTTACTTCATACTACTTTTTTGTACTTTACATTACCTTACTATACCCACACAGTGCCAGGGGATCAGTCCTGGCTTTTCCGGGCGGTGCCGCCCGTCGCCGCCCCGTCGCCGCCTCGTCGCCGCCTTTCGCCTGGGCCCCGTTCCCAGCTTTTCTGGGCGGTGCCGCTCGTCGCCGCCCCGTCGCCGCCCTGTCGCCGCTTCGTCGCCGCCCACGTAGGTTTAATTTCTTTTCCGAAAAGAATGCGGACCCCCCCCGGCTTTATCAATTCATTTTTTCGTGTTGCAATTTACACATGATTCTGCCCCATCGTCCACCCGAAATATGAGTTCGTACCATTCCAGACAGCTGGTGTTGATCCCCCTCGCCATCCTCTGCAACAAATACTATGCGCGCACAGTCGTTTATCACAAACCAGAAGTTTCCAAGAACCCCTTTGCAATACATGAGACGAAGTGCGCACGCGCGCGTCGTCGCGCGCCGCGCGCGTGTGCCGAAACCCTTCAAACACCTTCGGCTTTGGACGGGCTTCCAAACCGAATGTCCAACAAACATATATCAACACATGGTTTCGCAACGTGGATGTTCAAGAAAAGCGTGCGCGCGCTCTTGCGAATTCTTAAGAAAACCATTCGTTTTTTTAACAGTTGAAGGACATCTTATCGAACGGGCTTCGAGCGCGCGCATCCCGAAATCATTCGCACGCATTTTTGCGCGCGCCGTCGCGAGAACCCTTTGCATTCCGAAATCCTTCAAGAACCTTCGGTTTTGTAGCGACCCCAAAACGGAATGTCGAAACAACATTCAAAAACAAAAGGCTTCGCGACATCAGTTTTCAAGAAAAACTTGCTCGCGCGCTCTTGCGATTTTTTTTTATTATACATAACAAAACCTTAGGTTTTTGTTCCAGCGTCTTCATCGAATTCTGCCAAACGGGCCTCTGGCGCCGCATGCCGACATCATTCGCACGCCCTTGCGCGCGTGCTGGGGGGCACGATCCGTGTCAAATCCAACCATGCGGGCCACTCTCGGGCGCCGGCCGCGCGTGCATGTCGAGCTCTTTCCAAAACCTTCATCACCGACACGAGGACGCCGTCATCGTCGCCGGCGTTATCAGCATCGGCGCCAGCACTGGCCGCGCCATGGTCGGCGCGAACATCGTCACCAGCATCGTCACTAGCATCATCGCGTCTACCGTAGTCGGCAAGCATGCATCGCAATCGCCACCGCATGCGTTTTGCAAACCAAATTGCGGGTGGGTGGGTGGGTTACTGCAAGAGCATGGGATGTGTCAGCTCATGGGTAAACATACGCTGCCCCGCTTAGCTTGCACCGCATATTTTGCACTACGCGTATTGCATCACGTAGAGTGCACCACATAGATGGCACCGCATATTTGGAAGTATTTAGGTTGCATCGCATACGTTGCACCACATCTATTGCACCGCGTAGACTACAACACCCAGTTGCTTTGGGTCCACGCTGGCTAACATCGATTCATTCAGAAGTTTGGGGGCGTGTGCGAAACAAAAATGGGTCACGGCAGTATTAAAGAAGCCAGTTGTCAGACATTCGCTTCTGAATGTTTTCGGCATGTCAGCGAACGCGAACTATGCGCAGTGCGACTTGGATCACGCAGCGGATGACACTGAAGAAGCCTTCCATGCAGCCGCATCGACCGTACCCGCGTCAAAAGCGTCTTCACTGACGTCCGTGGACAAACGCTCACACACACACGCACACACACACACACCCAACCTAATTGGGGAACGAAAAGTCTGTCGTCAAACGGGGGGCTAGCTCATCGAGACAAGCTGAACACAATCGTCCGGCAGTGTGGCAAGCAAGATCGTACAGCATTGGTTGCAAGACTTTTCGGTTGACGCCCTCGGGATCGTGATGTGCATGACTGATAAGGCACACAACAATGATGATGGAATTATGGAGGTGTTGCTGCACGGGGCAGGCAGGCTTCCGTGAAGAACGCCCCGCAAAATCAGGCTCCCTCCCGACATGTTGGACATGGTGCGATCCATTTATGCGACCCGCTCCTCTGCTGCTTTGGACCACAGTGGAACTTCGTTGGAATTGCGACATAGCGATGGCATCGCACCAGGGTGTCCGCTCTCCCCGTACCTTTCCATAGCCGTCCAAACGATCATGCTGCGCGATGCGGTTGACACGCTGCGCGTTCCACAAGAACCCTGTTATGTGGTTGCACGGGACGTACTGGGCGCAGACGAACAGCATTGGTTTTCCAGCGCCACGGGAACCTCCAGAACATGCTGAATGCCATCATGGACGAAAAAGGGGCAGATATGGCTCATATTAGAACTGGGCCAAGACAGTGCAGATGCAGGTGTTTACGAACAAGAATCGAATCAAACCAGAGTGGGGCGACGTCAAGACAGTCCGGGGCGAAGTGTATTTGGGAGGCCTTGCATCTTGCGATGGAGCGGTTTCGGCCAAATTGTCCAGAAGGGTGGGGGAAGCGTACTTGGAACCACTATAGGCAAACTCATCAATTGGGTGGTAGCGGAAGTGCAGGATCTACGACAGCGTCGTCTTGAGCAAACCGCTTTACTCATTTGATTCTCGTTGGCTGTCTAAACCTGATCGTGCTAGTCTAGACGCGTCTCATTGTAGGTGTGTGCGGCGACTCTTGGGGATCCAGCTTGATGCAAATCTAGAGTGTGCACCGATCGTATTTAGGAGAAGGCGCTGTCGTAAAGATGACTCAGCAGACAAGAGGAAAGTCATGAAAGTTGCAAGTTACGATGCGAATTCGTTTGTGAATTTTGTGATACCTTGTGCTTTCCAACGCAGACGGGTCGCCTAGATCATGGGCCGTCCGCCGCAAGAGAGGACGGCCGCGCCAACATTGGGCATCCGAAATGCGCCAGCTCACGCAACGCGTGTAATTTTGGCCTCCGCGTTTTCGTCTTTCGCCCCCTCTTTGCCCTCCCCCTCTCCCTTTGGCCAGGGCAAGCGAGCACGTGTTTATGTCATGTGTCACATTTGTTCACTCGCGCGCCGACGTGCACAATTCGTCCTGCCTGTGCGTCCTCCCAGGTGCACGGCCTTGGACTGACTGGCTGACTGACCCCCAGAAGGCCAACATGCATCCCAAACCTTAGTGCAACCAGTTATCCATGCCTTCTCGCCGAGGCCTTGTTGGGCGCTCATATCGGTCGCGACCTCCCCGTTCCAGGTCCAGGGGTGGGGGGCAGGGGGAGGTGTCAAGACGCCCTTATTGCCCCCGAGCTGTCTCGCTCATTACCACCCGCCTTCCCAACACATGCGTAGCACCTGGGCGTCAGCATGTTCAGCGGCCGCCTATGGATGGGCAGCTGCTGGGAACCAGAGCGGGCCCAATGTGAGCGATGCGGCGAGGTGCGCCACGCGTGCCAGGCGCTCGAGGTGCGCAAGGCACTCTTGGGGCCCACGTGTGCCAGGCACGCCTCGCGCGCCAGATGCGCCACGTGCCCTACGTGCGCCATGTGTGCCGCATGGTCCAGCCGTGCCAGATGCGCCACGTCCGGAGCACGCGCAGAGCGTGCCAGGTGCGCCCGCGCACGACACAGCACATTTCGGGAAACATGGCGGCCCCCACCACACTTGTCGAAAACCAGTGCACAATCGTGGCGAGGAGGCCATCATGTTGTCAGGTGGGCCTGCACGCAGCAGGAAATGTGCCACCGCCCCCGCGGTCCTTGTCAAACGCAAATGTGCAGTGATCGCGGGGTGGTTGCCCATGAGCCAGATTTAGCCGCGAAGTGCATGTTGTATTGATTTTGACAGGGATGGTGGCTTTGTGCAAAGCAGGCGATGTGAGTGCACCCCCGCCGACCTGGTCACAAAGCAGTGCGAAATGTTCGCCGGGCCCGCGAGCTTGACCCAACATGTTGCCCCATGCCTCGTATGGTTTTTGATCGGTGGTGTTCTCATTATGTTTTCGTTGGTCCCGGTTGGCTGCCGGTCGCTTGGTGGAAGGGGTGTCTGTCACTAGGGAACAGTGATGCATCCCTCCCCGAAGGGGATGAAAGGAGGGTTGGACGAGGCAACCGCTAAACCAGTCACGCTCTAAAGGGCTGGTGGAATTTTACATTCGGGCGCTGCTCGGCAGGGGCGGCTATTAAAAACGGACGCTTCCATCTCATCTCCGTCTCAGCAGCGCCCATGGAGGACGCGACGATTGGGATCAGGAGGAGTACCTAGTTCCCCGCAGTTGGGGATAAGGGAGGGGGTGCGTAAGCGGTGCGCATGCACGTGTGTATCTCCAGAGTCCATCCCCAGGGTCCATCCCCATTGTTCATCCCAAGTGTCCATCCCCTGTATCCATCCCGGAAGCACACCAATGTGGACCACGAACGCACGCCCCAGGCTAAATAACCCCCGTTCGGGCAGCACTCCCCCCTCTCTCTCTGACTCTGTCATTCTGCTATCGCCGCCCCTCGCGGCAGCAGCCAGGGGCTGGCCGCGACCGCGCCCCCCCCCCCCGCCCCACGCAGCAGGCGGCAGGGTGCCGCGGCTGCCGGCCGAGCCCGGCGATCTGCTGCGCAGGCGCCTCCTCCCCCGCGCGGGCGGAGCGGCCGCCGCCGCTGGCCGTCCGTGGCCGAAGGATCGAGGGATCGATCAGGGGCAACGTCAGGGGGGACAGGCTCAGGAGGGCGAGTTTTCAAACGCATTCAAATGTTTTTCGATCGTCTTCGGGGCCCGGGGGTCGTTTCCATTCCCCGCGCCTCGTCGAGGACGCTCCCTGGGTTCTGTGATCGTCCCGAACGGCAGCCAGAGAGCCCAGTCACGACCCGGAAGAAATGTAACAATGGGGGGGAGCAGCTCAGGGGGAATGCATCGACCCCCAACCGCCCATCGATCGCCGATATGGGCCCGATAGCCCACGCCGCCCAGGAATGTACGGGTTCGCTGTCGGTGGTCTGTCGCCGATTTATCGGCGATGTATCGCCGATCCCAGCTCGATGTTTCTCCCCCTGAGCTGGCCCCTGCTGATCGTTCCCTCTCAATCGAGGATCGAGGGATCGAGGGATCGAGGTTCAAGGGATCGAAAATCGAGGGATCGAGGGGTCGAGACTCGATGGTCGAGGGATCGAGGTTGGAGGTTGGAGGGATCGAGGGGGTCGAGGCTCGAGGATCCAGGCTTCTAGGCATTTCAGGCGCCCGTCTTGGGGGCCTCCAGAGGCTTGTCGCTGCGTGGTGTGCTGCGACTCCGACGCCCTCGACGACGTGGCGGTTGCTGCCGCCGAAACCGCCAGCGACTCCGACGCCGACGCCGACTTCGATGCGCCGACGTCGACTCCGTCCAGACCTGTCCTGGGACACGCTCTGACCAGAACTTTGAGGCGGATCAAGCCGTGGCCGCGAGGGGCCTGCCGCAGGTCGAATAAAAGCTCTCCCCAAACGGATCGATTCTCGAATGATCGGTCCTCGAACCTCGAGCCATCGCAGCCACGACTCTGCTGACGCAGACGATGCCGCAGACGCCGACGCGGGCGCCGACGCCGAAGAAGCCGACTGCGCCGCCGACGCCGACGCTGATGGCTCCGACGCCGGCGCCCATACCGCCGACGCACATGCCGCAGACGCCCACGCCCACGCCGCCGACGCGACGCCGACGACGTCGACGACGCAGAAGACGAGGACGACGACGACGACGACGGCGATGGCGACGAGGACGACGACGACGACGACGGCAACGACGCTGTCGACGACGACGACGCCGACGCCAACGCCGATGCTGGTGCCGACGCCGACTCCGACGGCGGCGCCGACGCCGACGCCGACGCCGACGGCGGCGGCGGCCAGGCGGCGCGGCCTGCTGCACCGGCGGCAGCGGGCTGTGCTCGAAGCGGCACGGCCTCGCCGCGGACGGTGGCGAGCAGCGGCCCGCCGGGGCGGCATCGACGGCAACCGCCGACGCTCCGCCGCTGCCGTGGCGTCGGCGTCGGCGACGCTGCCGCCGTCGTCGTCGTCGTCGTCGTCGTCGTCGTCGTCGTCGTCGTCGTCGTCGTCGTCGTCGTCGTCGTCGTCATCGTGTGTCGTCGTCGTCGGCGTCTTTGTCATCTTTTTTGTCGTCGTCTTTGTCGTCGTCTTTGTCGTCGTCTTTGTCGTCGTCCTCGTCCTCGTCCTCGTCCTTGTCGTCGTCGTCGTCGTCGTCGTCGTCGACATCGCCTTCACCGTCGTCGTTGTCGCTATCGTTGACATCATTGCGTCGTCGCCGTCGGCGTCTCAAGGATCGAGGTTCGATGATCGAGGATTGTGGATGTGTTTCGGCCTCTGTGGGCCTCTCTGGGGGCGCCGTCGCCGCCACAGCTGGGTTCGCTTCGAGATTCAGGCAAGAAAGCGCACACCTGGTCTGGTCTGGGGGTCGTCGTCGGCGTCGGCGACGGAGCCGTCGTCTTCGTCGCCTGAGCTTGTTTAGTGGCATCTCTGGAGGTTCTCGTCGCCACGGCCGGACGCGGCTCGGGAAATTGGCAGGGACGGACCCTGACGGGTGAGGGAGGAGGATGGAGGAAGAGTGAGGAGAAGCAGGAGGAGGAAGACGAGAAGGAGGAGGAGGAGGACGAGGAGGTGGAGGAGGATGAGGAGGAGGAGAACGAGGAGGAGGAGGAGGAGGAGGAGCAGGAAGATGAGGAGGTCGGAAGTAGCGCCTTCCGCCGCTGCTGGCACGTGGGGGGGGGTTCAACCCCCTCGCCCCCCCCGAAAACCATGTGGGGGGGGGTTCCGGACCCCCGCCCCCCCCCCAGGAAAATTTCTTTGGGAGGTCAGAACCCCCCCCTGGGGAAAATGATTCGGGGTCCAGAGGGCCCCCCTCCCCCCCTCCCCCTCCCCCTCCCCCTCCCCCTCCCCCTCCCCCTCACAACGAGGACGACGACGATGGCGTCGCCGCCGCCAGCAAACGACGACGACGATAATTCAGACGACGACGATGACGACGACTCACGACGACCACGACGACCACGACGACCACGTCGACCACGATGACGACGACGCACGACGACGACGACGTCGATGGCGACGACGACGACGATGCACGACGACGCACGACGACGACGACGACGACGGAAGGCTCACGACGACTAACGAAGACCATGTCGACCACGTCGACCACGACGCCGACGCCGGCGCCGACGACGACGACACCGACACCGACGACACCGACGACGCCGCCGACGACGACAACGACGACGACGAAGACGACGAAGATGACGACGACGTCGTGCAGAGTAGAGTCGGCGTACAGTATAGTGTAATAGGAGTAGTGTAAAGTAGGGTAGGGTAGAGTCGATTAGAGTAGGATTGGACACAGTAGGGTAGGGTAGTGTTGGATAGGGTAGGGTACGATTAGAGAAGGGAAAGGTCGGGTAGAGTAGGGTGGAATGCGGTCGGGTAGAGTAGGGTAGAGTAGAGTAGATAATACTAGGGATATGTAGGTCACATTAGAGTAGAGTCGAGTGGAGAAGAGTAGCTGTGTAGAGTAGAACAGAAGTAAAGTAGAGTGGAGTAGAGTAGAGTAAAGCAGAGCTGAGTAGAGTAGAGTAAAGTAGGAGTATAATAGGATCGAGTAGAGTATGAGTAAAGGAGAGCGGAGTGTATTGGGGAACTGTATGGTTTAATAGAGTAGGGTAGAGTAGAGCAGGGTAGAGTAGAGTAGAGGAGAGCCGAGTTGAGTACAGTAGGGCCCTCGCAGGATACCGAAAGAGCTGGGTCGAGCCCTAGTTGCATTCCATCAGAGCTGGCACCTGGCGCGGGCGCCAGCTACAGGTGCGCCGCCTCCGCTGCTGACGTTGTCACCGTCGTCGGCGTTGGCGTCGTCGTTGCGGGGGGGGAATTCTGGACGCCCCGAGTAATTTTCCAGGGGGTGGCCTGGACCCCTCGAATCATTTTCTCGGGGGGGCGGGGTCGTTCAGACCTCCCTGGTTTCTTGCGGGGGACAAGGGGGGGCGAGTTTTTTTGTGTGGGGGGGGCGGCCCTGGTTTCTGACCCCTCTGGCCCCCCCGCTCTGACTTTTATCAGGGTGGGGAGGGGGTGGGGGCACCCGGGTTTTTGACTCCCCCCAGCAGATATTCCCGAGGCCAGCGACGGCGGATCGCGCTTCTCGGAGGTCGGAAGACAAGGATGTCGCAGGAGGTGGAGGCAGGAGGGGGGATGTGGAGAGATGTGGAGGGTGAGCAGGACGAGGGAAGGACAAGAGCACCCCCAGAGCGCATCAGCGATGCCGCAGAGCTTGCGTCATCAAGAGACCACCTTGGGCTCAGGAGGGCTTCTGGTCTCCGGGCCGTTCCAGGCACCAGGGTCGGGGAGCCTGCTCGTGGCCGAGGCTCGCCGTGGCCAGGAGAAACCCCTTCGTCCCTTGCTCGGCGCTCCCTATGATGGCGCGATGACTGCAGTTCTCCTCCGCGGATAACGCGCGCGCGTTGTACGAGTGGGAGAACAGAGCACGGCAATGGAACTTACAGTCAGGGGAGAAAGGGTAGTCCAGCGAGCAGGGATGACGGATTGTAGCATGGTGTTATCGTCTTGCTTGTGGGTGTTCTCTCCCCACCGCGCACATACTAGTGACTGCTCCCTTCCGCTGCTGCGAGCGCCCCGCTGGGTCTGTGGGGTCCCCGTGGGGGCCCGCTGCTGAGACCCAGGGTCGGGGAGGGCTGGGTTCCAGAGGTGCCCACCAGCAGGTGCGAAGTATTGGGAGGGTGTCTGAAGAGGAACAGACAGTACCGACACCGCTGCCCTTTCCTCGTCGCCGCGGCTGGAGTCGCTGTGAAATTCTGGGCAGAGCGCACCCCTCGAGAGGTCCAGGGAGCAGCGGTATCGGTATGTCGGGGGTCCCAAGCGGTGCTGTGACCACACCCTGTGGTGAGTCAGCGGGGTTTCAGGGTGGCCGCACGGTTTTGGGAGTTGAGTCGCTCTCCGAGGGCGTCTTGGGCGACCCGGGGCCTCCGAACTTTCGAAACCGTGCGGTGACGGACCGTGCGGCGAGGTCTTCGGAGATTCCGATGTCACCGCACGGTCTGTCACCGCACCGTTTTGGGACGCCCAGGGAATGGGGACGGCAGGAGGGCGTGCCCTTTGGCCCCAGGAGGAGGGGGATTTGGAACAGGACCTCCCCCCCGAGAGCCGAGAGCCCCACCAGGCGCCCTACCCCAGAGCCCAACTTTACACAACAATTTGTTGGCTGAAACCCCCAATCTGTCGTTCCCCTCCGCTCGTCCTCCTCCTCCTCCTCCTCCTCCTCTTCCTCCTCCTCTTCCTCCTCCTCCTCTTCCTCTTCCTTCTCCTCCTCCTTCATCATTGTGCATAACTCCATGTCGCGCCCACGGACGAGCTGGTAGGGCGGGCCTGGCGTTCCGTTTGAGACTTCCTCACCATTTTTGACCCTGAAGATTAAGACTTGCAGCAGCTTCTAGGATGGAGGGCGGGTCGGTTTGATCTGCTGCTTCTGTTAGCAACAGTTTCAACGTTTTGATTGCGGCTGGTTTTCAAAATGTGGCTCTCGCCAAAAATCGCCGCGCATTCTTTTTCATATCATGTAGGAAAATCGAGGACGGGGTGGTGGTTTTCAAAGTGCGGTTCCCGATATAGCGCTGCGCATACGTGTTGTGCAAGTTTGGAAGAGCTTTAAAGATGGAGGGCGGGTTGTGTTTTTTAAAACGTGGCTCTGGCCTTAGCGCCGCGCGCTTTCGTCCCAAACTGTCGCATCTGTTTCAAGGATTCGTATGGTCGAAGTCCCAGGAGGCAGGCGCGCGGCGCAGCAGCAGCAACAGCAGCAGCAGCAGCAGCAGCAGCAGCAGCAGCAGCAGCAGCAGCAGCAGCGGGGGAGTCGCACACAAGAGCTGAAGGGAGGGATGGTGGGTGAGGGGCATGGACAGAGGGACAGAGGGTGCCAGGACGACCACGGCGATCGAGGAAAAACAAGCATACATCAAGGCGAATGCATTAGCGACGGGTCCCGCTTCCGTGCGCAATCGACGCGCGCCGTGGCCAAATGGGACGGCACTGGCGCGCCAGATCCACGGATCCGTAGTCCATGTCAGCGTGCGGCTTCAGGAAGGGTGAGGGGGAAGGGGCAGAGACAGGCAGGGATACAGGACGACCGCGACGAGCGACTACCACGACGGCGACGGCCCCCGGCGGCGGCGGGGCCCCCGATGCCCAGGTCGCGCCAGCCCGTGGACGTCCGCTCCGAGCTGGTGGAGGTGGCGCGTGGAGCCCTCGGTTGCCTTGGTCGACGGCGTCGTCGTCGTCGTCCTCGTCGTCGTTGTCGTCGTCTTCGTCGACGTCGTCGTCGTCGTCGTCGTCGTCGTCCACCACCGTCGTCGTCCACCGCCGTCATCGTTTGTCGTCACCTGTCGTCGTCGTCCTCCGGCGTTGTCGTCTTCCTTCGAGCCCAAATTTATTCGTATCCATCCCAGGACGTTGGTTCCCCAGGCGGTGGATATGGATCACTTCCCGCCTCGCACTGTCGCCGTCGTTTGTCGTCGTTCGCTTTCGAAGATTCGTCGCCGTCGGCCGCCTTCGGGGGTGAGGCGAGGCGCCCCTCTCTTCGCTCGATCGGGTGGAGAGCGACTCGCAGCGCCGGCTGCCGCCCGCGCCCTGGGAGAAGGGCGAGGGATCGAGGACCGCGGCCCGAAGACCGGATTTCTTAGCGTCTCTGGTCTTCCTCGGGCCCTGGGCGCCTCCAGAGGCTCCCTTCGGCGGCGAGCCCAGGAGGGAAGTGAGAGAGGGCGGGCCCTCTCAGAAGGCGGCGGCGCTTCTCAGAGGCCCTCCCCCCTTCAGAGGATCCACCTGCGTCTTCGGAGAAGACTTTGCACGCAAAAGGCTTCTCTGGAGGCTGGGGAGGCCTTATGAGCCTGCTGCAAAGCCCCGCCCCCCTCTGCCTTCCTCCTCGGGCTCGACGCGACGATCCCTGGATCTCTCTGGCCTGGTCCGCCCCTGGCCAATTCTGCTCCCGCTGCAAAGCCGAGGCCTGCCCTGCGGCAACGCGCCCATGCACGCCGAGCGCGCCGGTGCTTCCGGACCGCCAGAGGCGGTGTCCGCGGCCAGGCGGCGCTGCGCCACGCAGAGCCCAAAGCTTCGGAGGCAGATCAAGCTGTGAGGTCATGAATCATGCGTATGCAAATGTGCCTGCGGGTGATGGGCGTGGTTAGAATTCGCCGTCCTGGGAAAGCATCTCCAAGGCGACAGCCGCCCGCGTGGCGGGGGCTGCCCCGATCAAGCCCCTTGACGCGGTCGCCCGTTGCGGGGGTGCCAAAACACACTTTGCCTTCTCCTCCTTTGCCTCCGCCTCTGCCTCCACTTCCTCCTCCTCCTCATCATCTTCCTTCTCGTGCCCCAGACTCTCAGGCTTCGCGGAACACATGTTTTGTTTGTGAAAGTTCTGGGCATCAGAAGGCCCGTGTTGGGCCCCGGCCCAGCAAGGAAGTTCTTGACGCTTCGCGTATCCCCACCAGATCCGTAGCCTGGCTCAAGCCTGGCTCAAGCCGTCTGGTGGGCCTGTCCCGGGACAGTCTCCCACCGCTCGAGGGGGCGTCCGTACGCTGCGCTGCGGGCCGCGGCTGGCCCCCCTTCCGCCCCCCCCTTGGGCGCGCCGGCCATCGCTGCAGCTGCGCCGCCAGGCAGCACGGGCCTCAGCCGCCTCGCATGGAGAATCAGTCAGATGGCGTCAGAGCAGACGAGGCAAACGCAGGGACGACGCCAGCGGTGCCCACTTTAGCCTTCTGCCCCGCGGAGAACGGCAACCAGAAAGAGGGGAATGGAGCTCGCCCTGGCGCCGCCCTGGATCCCGTTCTGATCCCAGTTCCGTCCACGCCTCCCCCCTCCCCCCGCAGGGGGGCAGACCGTGATTGCGAAGCCCCAGCGACAGGTTCCACCCAGCCCCCTGAGGCCGAGAATGAGGCTCGCGTAGGGAACCAAGAGACGGCAGTGAACGAGGCATCTGGAGAGAGACAATCGGAGCCCATAGAAGTTGACGGAGCTGGCCTCCCACCAGGAGGACAGGCGAGCAGGCCCCCCCCCGCGGCGACGGATGGGCCACTTCAGAGACCGCTAGGGGCAGAACAGAGAGAGGACCCAGAGCAGGCAGCACTGCTCCAGAGGGCCGCCCTACCCCCCTCCTCCTCCAATTCACAAGTTACTGCGGCTTTTGGCTGCGCCCCCCATCTTCCTCCTCCGCCTCTAGTGCAGGATCTGTGTCCAGCGGCTCTTGGCTGCGCCACCAATTCTAATCAAGATTCACCAGTGACTGCGCGTTTTGGCTGCGACCCCATGCGTAGCGTGATGCCGAGGAATGATGCTGGCAATGTTAGATCGCCAGAAGATCCCCTGCAGGATCGAGCCCCGCCAGCGCCCTTGGCGGGCGCGCGGCCCCACCCAGGAACCCGCTGGACTTGACCAGCGACGGCGGGGAGGATCCCCCACCCGACCCACCCCTTTCGCCCCCGCACGTTCCCTCCTCTGCCTTCCCGACTCCTCTGCCCCCTACGGGCCTGGGCGAAGACATTGAGATCTCCCCCGCGCTCACTTTCCACCCGATCGGGATCGACGCGGACGACGGACGGCAGCGTCGTTGGGACGAGGTCGACTGGGACTGGCTTCTGCGAGATCGCGAGCCCAGCGGAAGCACCCCCGATAGCGAAGCGCCCCACGACTGGGAGGACCCCGACGAGATCGACAGCAGATCAGCCGCTCGCGTCCACGGTCGCCTGATCACGCCTCCTCCTGGCCTCCCCCCGGCCCCGCCGCCAGGCTCAAGGTCGCTCAATTCGAAAGGAACGGTGGTTGACCTTGGACACGGAGTTGATCCAGCTAACCGCAGGCCCTCCCCACAACCCAGGCGTTGTGGCACCCGTGACGCTGACGCCCCCCTCTTGGCCCCGAGAGTCGTCGACCCAAGGGGCACCATGAGAGGCGGCACACTAGCGGCGCTCATGGAGCACCATGAACCAAGGGAGGGCCCGTGGAGAGAGCTCCCCAGGCGCTCGCCCCGCAACGAGGCAATGAACAGTGGTCTTGAAAACATGGTAAGCTTCTGCTGGCTCCGCCACCCCCCCTGGCATGCAGCCGTTAGCGGGGGCCCTTCCGCAGCAGGGGGTGCCCAATGCCCACTCGCGGCAGGCCCCAGCAACGTGGTGCAAACGGAGCAGGTACACCTGCGCCTCGGCAGTGGCAGAGCTTGACCTCTCCTGGTTGGCATGGTCGATCACAGGGTCCGACCATGAGGCAAGGCTCGGAGGAGTAGGTCCGGACCCAGTTCAGGCACTGGCCTTCCGCTACGCAAGCCTGACACTGGATCCCGCCATCGAAACGGAGAGCCTGGACTGCGACGAGCCAACTCAGGATGAAATCGTTGCGACAGAAAGTGAATACGAGGTACTGCACCATGCCGCCTTCTACACAGACATCGGGGTGGGGGACCCGTCGGAGGGCCTCTTTCCGCCGTCCCTGCTAGGGCTCTCGAGGTGGTGCCACGGCGCTGCCCCCGACGCAACCGACGCGAACCTGGCTGGGTCCGACTCAGAGCACAAAGCCAAGCTGTGCCGCTACCTAATCCACGAGCACCGACGCAACCTGGTGCACTTCCCGGATCACAATGAAGTCAGGAACTGGGCGGTCAGCAGGGGACACTGGGCCGACGCAGGGGCGGGCGCCCTCTCTTCCGTGCAACACGGCGCGGGGCAGGATGGCCGGGCCGCCCCCGCCATCAGGGCCCGCCCTCGAGGGTAGCGACACGCCCGAAGGGCCCTGGCCCATAGACAGTACATCCCACATGATAAGGTTTGGGGACTTCTTTCGCCCTGTCGACAGATGCGATTATTGCGGCTGCTGGCTTGCACGGTGCCCGCGCGGCCCCATGCGCACCGTCTGTCAAAAGGCTAGCCACCCCATGGGTGATAGCCGCGAACGGACTCCACCCCGACAGCCTCGAGGCCCCAGGACATCCTCTAGACTTGCTAGGTACCCCGCTCACCTTCCAGCTGGCCAGAGTGGGGGCGCGATGCGCCCCCATCGCCAGCCGCATCGGCCCCCCGGACCCCCCACCAGAGACCACCAGCTACTCCCCGTCATGGCTGATCGCAGAGTTACTCGCAGCATGGCGCCACATGACAGACATGGCGCTTGCCAGCGGGAGGGCCGCAGACGAAACCGGGCACCCGATTGCCGTGAGGGACGACGCAAGACTGGGAGATGAACCGATGCTCAGAGCTGCGGTGGGCGCCCTCGCCAGACTCTGCAGCGCCCCGCAGGGGTGGGCCCTGGAGACTGTTTCACGTATCCGGGACCGCATCAGGGGAAACCCTTTCGGCAGGTCGTTACGCGACTGGGTGCCTGGCGGCCTTGCCCAAACCTCCAGCGTGGCCCTGCCGGCCCAACTCCCCGGCCCAGCGGGCGCCAGGCCCAGGGCCCAAGACTTGAGGGCAAGATGCCAGCAGTGCCTCGACAGCCTCCCCACGGGGGACGCAGCATGGCTTCGCAGAGAAATAGGGGGCAATTTTCTGGATCAAGCCCTCCTCGCCACCCCCGCGGACAGGGCCTCTATCGAGGCGCCGGACCGAGGCGACAGAAGTGGCCTGCGCAGCCCTCATCGCCTCTGCCAGAAGGGAGGGGAGACTCATTGTCCACCGCCTTGCGCCAGGCAGCCCCTGCGGTGAAGCGACGCGTCTCGCGATCGCACTGCGCGCATGGGCACGAGGGGTGGGCTCTCCCGCGACTCGCGAGATCAACCAACAAACCATGAGGAGAGAGGGGGGCGAGACCCGAACAAGCGATGGGCACCGGCCGAATAGACGCACCCAGCTCCCCCCAGAGAGCGAGGGCAGCGCGCGACGACTGCTGCAGGAGATCTCAGAGATCCGGGCCCAGGTAGCAAACGACAGCATCCCAAACAACATGACCTGGAGCAGGCTCCTGGTCCTGTTTATTCGGGATTCAACCACAGAGGGGGTTCGGGCCACACTTGAACGCGTCTTCGAGGCCACCGGAATCCCTCGCTCCCTAGTGACGCACGCAGCCAGGCGATGGCACTACATGGGCAGCACCTCGCTAGAAGGAGCGCGCCACCGCCTCGGGCTAACAGCGGCAACCCTATCTCGTCAGACAGGAAGAGTGATTGAGGCCCCCCTCCCAGGGGGATACATCCACCCAGAGCTCCAGGAGCGTGCCATGAGCTGGCTCGACCCGCTCGGACAACTCCAAGAGGCAATCCTAACAGCAGACAGGGGCGCAGTGGAACGCGGGGCGCAGGCCCGAAGCGCCAGGGCGCACGCCAGGAGTGGCAACGCGGGTGCCAGGAGAACAGGAGGGCGCCAACCTCCCTCCCCCACAGAGGGAGGGGCACAGAGCACCACGACTCCCTGGCGCGAAGACATCAGACAAATCCTCGGCGACGAATCAAACTGCAGCCTCAGATCGCCCCCCCCCCCCCCCCCCAGGCACGCGGCAGAAGAGACGCGCTGGATGCCCTCATTCGAGCCCTGGGCGCCACGCAAAGAGACGACGAAGCCGCAGGAAGATCCAGGCAACAGCGCATAGACCGCACCTCTTTCAGCGGCGCAGAAGCGCAGTTGGTGGCAGGAGGGCTGCTCAGAGAGGCCAGGGCCCAGCTTGAGCCAGGGAGCTGGATATCAAGGGCCATGTGGCTGTGCCTGGCGCCGCACTGCACCCCCCTCCTCCGACCAGTGCTCCGGGTTCGTGGTATGGACATCAGACCGTTCGAGGTCCTCACCAGATGGGCGCAGATAGCAGGCACACACGCCCCCGACGACATCAGAGGCATACTGAGTGAGGGGGGGGACCAGGCCCCCTGCGCCTACCCCCCGTTCAGGAACGGACAGATTCGCCTCCTCGCGCGCGCCGCAGGTCTCAAGGCATGCTTAACTGAGGAAGAGGCGGCCTCGACCGCGCGTCTCCTCACAGAGAGCCTGGGCACATCCATCTCCAACGCCGTCGATCCGCCTGGAGATGCCGAACGGGCCCTCGGGGCCGGCGAGCCAGGGCCGAGACCAGGATGGGACACAGGCGAAGACGAGCAGTCCTGCACCATCTGCGCTGGGGAGCTTTGCGGGATTGCGGAGACCCTGGTCCCCTGTGGACACAGAT